AAAATACCTCATCCTAAGGTGTTAAATCCCATCCCATTTAAGGCAATATGAAAACTTTCTGAAACTTTAAGGCTGTCATGTCAACAAGGAAATCCAATCTCTCACATGCACAGTACTGTTTGCTATTACTGCAGTGAGTTCGTTTTATATTTACACTTGTTTCCTCTAGAAAAGGACATATGTTCATTATCTAGATAGCTTCAGCTCAGACCAGCATGAGCTCACATTTTCCCTAAACAATGTGTAGCTTCTGTTTATACCATCACAGTTAAGATGAAGCAAGTTGCAACTGGATTTTGACTTTGACTTATCAAAGCAGTGTGAAAAATATAAGCAAGTCCAGCTTTAGTAAATATGTGTATAAATGGTTATTAAGATATCGAGTACCACCAGAGGCGGGCGATGGTGATACCGATAATGACGTATCACAATAATGGAAAAACAGAACACACACACACATATATAAATAAATAAATACATACATTTATTATATGCCTGTGTGCGCATGTGCATGTTTGAGTTTGTGTGTCTGTGTGGGTGTGTAGGTCATTCACTGTCCCTTGGGTGGTGGCATGTTGACATATATCAGGCAGCCAGTCATGCCCTGTGTCCTTCTCCTGGGAATATACTTTTATTTTGAAATGTTGCTTAGCTCGTGGAAATTTGGAATTACAGAAGTGAAGTGGTTTAAGTAAGTGTTCCTTACTTCATTGAATGACTTCCAATCTAGGAGGAAATGTGTCTTTGTTTCAAACTGACCAGTCAAACACTGATCGCATGTTCTGTGTCCTTGCGTTAAGAGCTGTCTCTACTTTCTATCTCTGACTGTTTTTCTTACATACATTTATTTGCATTTTGTTATAATTAGCTGGCTGGTGTTTGGAAAGCAGTGTTTTTGTGAGATCAGTCAGGCTCATTCTTTGGGTTTAGAGGGCTTTAGAATGGAGTGTGTCTTAGGAGCTGGACTTATGGTGATCAAAAATGTTTTACTTTATTTAATTCAGTCTAATTATCAGTGGGTGTCTTCCTAATTCTGCTGGACAGGCATCACTTAGTGCTTTTCTGTGTATGCATAAAATGTATCTGTAGAATTCTGCATTTAGTGATTATGTCGGTACAGTGCACACCATAACATTATCAAATGTTTCAAGGCAGATTTTCATTGGAATTTGCTCTAATTTAAATGAGAGCTTTCTCTTTTTTCTTTATTCCCTCTCTCACACACACACAGCTAACCAAGTCTTCACTCTAAAGTTTCTTGTGCTATCTAGAGAGACTATAAAAACAAAAACTATATTGTTTTTAATAAAATTAGATGTGGAAAAGATGACTTAAACTTTAACTTTTCTACTTTGACTCTATTTTTAAACTGAGGTTCTTATGTTGTTGTAGCCAGCTGTGAGGTCCGTTTTAAAATGCAGACAGTGACCAGTTCAATCTTTCACAGTTAGCCGTCTGTTTTTTTATATTGTCTTTATTTTAGTATAACTAGTTTAGCTTAGTATACAGATACAGCCACTCAATATTGCTGCTTTCAGTCCGATGATTTTCTCAGTATTATTTTTATAAACGTCTTTGCCTTATAATTGTTTTGTACCTTAGGGTGGAATGTTTCTTCAAGTTCTGTTTTAACCTTGCAACCATCCAAATCCAAGTGTATTCCACCTGTGTTAACTTGATAGGTGTGTGTAGGTGTGTAACTCTTATCAGCTGTTTAGGCTGTTTATGAGGGCTGGGCTGGGTCTTTGAAAATGTGAGCAAACAAACAAAGCAACCTCACGGTGCCTTCCTGAAAGCGGGGCATTAGAAGACTGGCAAAAAATGGAGTCTATACTACTATGTGAATTCCATATATTTAAGATTTTCCCACTTGATAGTGAGCTTTTGTTCTTTCTGTTGAAACCTTCAATTTGTTTCAAGGAGAGCAGCACATGCTCTCACAGTTACCACAAGAGTAAAAAAAAACCTGACTTTCTGATGTCGGGGGTTTCATGAACGCTGCTCTGAAAACTGTTTCTGTGACTGACCTTCTCTGACCTTAATACACTAAACAGGCATGTTCTGGTTTGTCAGATCATTGCAAGTTGAAATGACTTCAGCATCGTTTTGGGTTACACTCTGGTATAAATCTACCATGATGTTACAAAGTTTGCAAATGTATTAACAACAGTAACGAACTCTGGACTGCATACTTTTAAAACGGGATTTTTACAGTAATGTAAGTAATCTAAAAATCGTTTTTGATTCATTTTATTGAAGGACAAAACACATGATTGACATTGAATAAGAAGGCTTCACAGACGGGCAGAGCTGGGGGGAGGGTGCTGCTTGTCTGTTTCACATCATTAAGTGGTGACGATATGCAAATGAAGCGCGGCAGCTTAACAACAAGCACTAAAATGAGAAAAGCAAAAATCCCTCCCTATAGTTCGGGAAAATACAAAGAAGGTGACTGTTTTTATAACAGTGTTCTATAAATCCTTTCTATCAATGATTCCTGGAACACCGTTTACAAGTTTTAAAATCACAACCAGCACTGACAGGATATTTGTGTGGGGTTTGGAAGTTGCTGCCCTTCTGTGGGGGTTCAAAGAGCTGTTTGATGAATCACCTAATGTGTGACAAAGGAATCTGCTGTGATGCTAATGTCGGTCTGCCCTCTGCCTACCTGTCTGTAAAAGTTGTTAACATTACCGCAGTGATTTATCAGAAATGTGCAGAGTGTGGAAGGAGAATTAAAAGAAAAACAGGTGGTTAACAGCGAGCAATTTACTGCATTTAAAATGATGCAATCCATATATCATAAGACTACATAACTAGCTAATATATGTAATTATTATTGTACCACATCTAAAACACGCTCTTCTCTGACAGGACCAACCAGTAATCAGTTTGCATTTATATTTTGCATTGATACATGTGTAGAAAGCTAGAAGTGAATCAACTTCCATTAGTGCCCCCTGGTGGATGTACAAGACATTACCACTGGTTTTCATAAATGCTGCTTGGGACAGGTCGTCCTGTCAGGAATGAGGCGGGCATTTGAAGTGGCTGTATCTGTTACTAATACCACATCCAACTTTCATTTCTAGCTTTTATCTTAATTTCTTCTCCTACAATAATTTAATTATTTCCACGTGTTAGGTATTGTGTTGTTTGTTGTACCCTCTGTTTGTTAGGAGGTTCTCAAATATATTTTACCTTCACGATCTGTACCGAAATAACTTGTAAAATGAATAAAACCTCTTAAATTAACTCAATCTTAAATAGGTGCTTATTTTGTTAAATCTAACTGAAAGTTAACAGGTTACATTTTTTCAAGAAAGGATTTCTTTGACATTACTTCGGTTGTTGCAGGACAGGTTAAATATTTTCCCTGTGGGATACTGGTAAAACAGTACTGAGTATTTTCCTGGGTATCTGAGATACGCATCAACAAGTTCACTTCTGAATTATTTAAAAAAAACACACACACACACACTCATAAACAAAAGGAAGGTTTTGGAGTGGTCTAGTCAAATTCTTACATCACAATGAGATGCTATGGTGAGACCTTAAACAGGCTGTTTATACAGGAAAAGCCTCCATCATAGCTAACTCAAAATCAATTCTGCAAAGACGAGTGGCCGAAATTCCTCGACAGTGAAGTTATTATTATTTCACGTTAGAGCAGTTGATAGTTGATTGCAATTCCTGTTGCCAAGTGTGGAGCAACCAGTTAGTTTTTTACAATTACTGTTTTACAGGAAGCAAATTCTGGATATTTTTGGCTCTTAATAAATTAAATAATCTTTTAAAAACTGCAATTTGCATTTATTTGGGGGGTTTTTTTTTGTCATATAATAATAAAATTTGTTTGATGGTCTGAGAAATCAGAAAAGGGCCAATACTTTGTCATAGCACTGTCCATGTGTACACACATACAAAGGTACCCTGTACTTGTACAAAGTGATCTCAAACCTTTCTTTTTTGCATTGAATCATCAAAAAAGGATTAAAAAAAAAAAAAACCTTCACCACCTTGCACTACATTTAACAAACTTAAACATTAAAAAAAAATATTTAATAAACCTGTCTTTTTTGTACCTGATGTGCTTGTGACAAAAAAGCGCATCGGGTACCACTAAGAATGTTCATTTATTCACCATTATTGTTTAAGGGAGCCACATATTTCTATTCTTTAGTGATACTAGGATTTTGATGATGGAGCCGAACTGAAAATCTGGAGCTTAAGAAGGAGGGAGAGACAACCCCGATCGTGGTTCTTCACGCAGCCTGTTTTACATGCAGCCAAATCCACTTGTTCAGCGAGCTGATTGGTTATCAGACTTTTAGACAGAATAGACAGAATGTCTACAGAAATTTTGACACCTGGGAAAGCTATCTTTTCCCCGCTGTGCGCGCACACAGAGACATTTTCAAGTTACTTCCCTCGATCAGCCCTATTATATATAATTATCGAAATTTTTGTCTAAAATGCACTCGTTAATGTTACTTTGTAATGGTGCTAGATTAATGTCCGAATATAACATCCAAAAACCTGACGTTAATACTGCCCACAGCCTCACACAGCCTGGTGCGCATTTACGCACATGGCCTAAAACCCCTGTCTTAATTGAACTGCGGATAACTCGAGATGTGACGTTAAATAATTTTTTCTGTCTTTCCACACATACAGGCCAGCTGGTAGACACTGACTTCAGGTTTATATAGTGAAATAGTATTTTTTAAAACAAACTTTTCCTCCTCCTTGTATATAAATGATTCTATTAACAGCTATCACGAAAAACTTCCTCCAGCCATGTGCGCATTTTTGCGATTGCAGCAAACGGAATGCCGATGCGGCAACATACCGGGTCAGACATCGTGTTAACAATGAACTATTAAAATGTCAATAGAGAAGAGAGGCGAGCATCAGGGAAGCTGAAGGAACTGCCCGTGAGATGCTTTTTTAACGGAGGAGACAAACAGAGGAGGGAGGGAGAGAGATGGCACGCTTACCTTCTTGAAGAAGGTTGTTGCCCGTTGTTGGCAGGTGGTGGTCCAGGGAAACCCCGCTCAGTTGGCAGCTCAGCCATTGCCTTTACTGTAGAGTAAATTTAGAGTAAATTATTTGATCCTCTTCAGTACACTGAAACATACACACTTGTCATGGAGTTTGCAACAGCTAGTTGATAACTCCAGTGTTATGGAAAAAAGTAGGTTCTTAAATTTGCTCTCAAAAACTTACTGAAGCTACAGATGTCAGTTTAGAAAATTTACCTTGTTTGTCTCCAGTCCTCCCAAACACTTCTTCCAGAGTTGCCTTTCTAGTTCTAATCAAACCTGCTGCTTTAGCAGATTCAGCTGATGGAGAAAGGCGTGCAGGAAGCCGAGATTTCAGAAGAGGGACCCTGTCTTTTACGCAGCTCCATGCGCCGCCCCTGTCTACGTTTGTGCGAAATAAAGCTTCTTCATTGGCGCAACTGTGCACAATTAGCATACATGTCAATAAATGAAGGCTGATATTGTTTCATGCAAACATTTGCATGGTTAAAATACAGTCAAACAACTAGTTGTAGCTAGTTTTATACATGTAGTTAGCAGCCTGTGCGCTTAAGATGTTATCGCTAACGGCTATGGAAAACAACGACAGACCTGCTGCAGTCTAACCTTTGCAAAGCTAATGCTACTAAATTTAATACCAACACAGTCCCATAGTTAATGCTACGCTTTTTTTCCTCTACCACCTCTGTGTTATCCCTCATCAAGCTGACAGCATTAACTTTATCCAGCATTGCTAGCGTTAGCTATTTCCACAGTGACATGCTACGTTCAGACAGAAATGTCTTTATTTTATCAGATAAAAGTTTCAAATTCATTAACAGAAGCCAGCACAGGAAACATTAGGCCTGTTGTTAATTCTTACCCACACTTATAGTTAGCTAGTAGTTTTAAAACAGAATAGCACAAAGTGTCCAATTTCGACCTTTGTAATATTTAAATCTAGTCTGGAATGTCTGGTCCCATATCTACACTTACATTTCTTCCTCCAATGAAATGAAGAAAACAGGAAAACAGATGACTAAATCAATAATCCATCCTCTTCCATGCTAATGCCCTTCACACTGGACTGAATGGATTTAGCACCTGTGCTCAGCCATTCACTGTACTGTACAGATGAATAGAAGCTGTCATTGTCAAAAATAAACCTATTTAGTTAAATCCTGTATTATTATCATCATCATCATCATCATCATCATCATTATTATTATTATTATTATTATTATTATTATTATTATTATTATTATTATTGACCTGACAAAGTGTGTCACTGATACAGTTTTTTCTGTCTGTTTTTTGTTACTTTGTTTAAAGGTGACTTGTGATTTAATTATCTCAGTTTACTTGGACTTCTTTATGGTAAAGCCAGTATGACTAAATTCAGCCACCAGTCTTCCTCAAAGTTGTGAGAGAGGTGTTGATTTTTATAAAAAGTGTGTTAAGTGTCCTTTATTTCTCTTGGCAGTTTCTCTGCTTTTGTACTCTTTAGCTTGTCGTGCTTTTTAATATATCGATTTGCCGAAACAAAACCAAAAAACACAGCACATCATTTTCTGCACCTTTCTCTGTTACTCTGTCAATGGGTGTCAGGGTACTCATTCTAGCTGTTTAAACATTCACACGTGTTGTCTGTGTTGTCCTGACCTGATCAAAGTCTAGAGAACTTAGATGTAGAGGATAAATTTCCATCAGACCACAAAGCTTTTTATTAAGCTTCAGCCCATCTTTGTCTCTACCACTGACTTTACTGCAAATAAATTCAGTGATGCTCTTGTCAGTAAGTCTTTTCCTCTTACAACAGCCCTGCCGAATCCCAGTGAACTCCCAACCTCTTTCAGTGATCATTGTCATGTAGCTGAACTGAAATGCAATGTTAAAACTCACTCTCCTCCCTGCACGACTAATTATCTAGATTACTTAACCCTTTATTGGGCAATTTTCAGCCTAAAAACACTATCCCTCTTATCTTGATCACTTAATGTTTTTGGAATTGAATAGTAATCAGAGGTTATCTGAAAATATAGTAATCCTCACTCACTGCCAACTAAAAACACTGCCAGTTTCAAACCATTAATCATTCATAGACATCATGTCAGCAAGGTTGTTTTTTTTGGGGGGGG